AAAAAGTAGGCACATGTGTATGTATTTTGTCAGTAGGCAGACTAAGTTCGAAAATGGGCCATGTCGGTCCACGTTTTCGTATAGCCCTCATATATTTGGATATTTGGATTATTTTAGCGACATTATTTACCGGAATTGTTTCCAATTTGGTATTTGAAGTTCTTAACTAAATATTCGGTATTTTGCTAATTTTATCGATATTATAGACCGGAATTGTTTCAAATTTCGTATTGGAAGATCTTAGAGGGCACTGCAACCTATGATAAAAAAATACTTTTGCAGGTTCACGTTTTCCGATAGGCCATATAAAACGATGCCTCTAAATATTCGGTTTTTGAGGATTTTAGCGACATGGACCGGAATTGTTTTAAATTTCGAATTTAAAGTTTGAAATGGGTACTACAGCCTATGACAAAAATTTACGTATGCAGGTCCACGTCACGTATATCCACCATGTGACGGTACCTCCCTTTTTCGGTAGTTTGATTATTTCAGATACATTATTCATCGGAATTGTTTCAAATTTCTTATTTGAAGTTCATAAAGGATACTTCAAATGATTGTATGATCTACGTCTTCGTATACCCCACATACGACGGTACCTCTTTTTTCCGGTATTTTGATGATATTTGTGACATTATTCTACGGAATTGTTTTACATTTCGTATTTGATCATATGATTTGATTGGTCCTAATGGGTACTACAGCCCAGCAGGTCTTCGTATTTGCCCATATAATGCTTTTCATTCAAACAATATTTTTGACATGTTGCAAGTTCCTTCCCAATGGTGAAGGGTTGCGCCAATATATAAAAGGATGTTTCTGGCCAAGTCATCGACTAATACTTTAGTTTTAAGAAAAAGGTGCCGGTACATAAAGAGAATTTGTTACTGGTTTAAGTCATCGGCTGGCTTCTTCGTAAATGAACAATGGAGGTTTAGGTTGACTTTGTTCAATTTTGACCAAAAATTTATAATTACTCGCTCTACGCTCCTATGTTCCTTGTTTGTTTGGGCCTTTAAAGGTGAAGATGATTTATTTATCCAGGATTAGGACCAGAGATGGCAACCTGTTTTCTATTCAGTTAAATTTGTTAAGGTAAATTGCAAAAAATGCAGAGCTGGAAATGCTTGTATGAAATGACTTTAACTCCATAATACTACCATGGTGAAAATATTGAAATACTGGTTTTTAGTATGCCATATGCAGCGGCTTTATGTATATTTTATTTGAGATCTCTTTGGGGGAGAAGTTGCAGGACATTCTGTATGCGTGTCTCGTAATAAGCTGCTTCTGGAATAATAACAACGAACCAAACGACTACCGGGTGTATTTGTCCATCATTTTTATTAGACACTCAGAAAGCACCCCATATATATGTACAGGGTGAGATGAAAAAACTGCAACCAACTTCAGACTGCTGTCATTTCTAAGCCACTCGTCTGACAGGTGTTAAAATTATTCCAGTGCCAGCTAATTACATTGTTTACAAGCGTACAAAAGCATATTGGTAAGCATTTTCCAGAAAAAAGATATTCGTGATGGAATTCAAGCGTGATATTATATTTGGCTGGAAAACCACAAGTGGCAATCGTCAGAGCACTCCAGCATTTAAATGTGAATAAATCTTTTGTGTCTCGTATCATCGCTCGTTACCGTGACACTGATAGCGTAGCACGACGTCAAGGAAGTGGACATAAGAAAATAGCAACATCAGCAGAAATTTTTCGAAAAATAAGAAGGGACTTGATCGAAACCCGAAACCCGCATCGCAGTGGCCGAAAAATAGTTCGTGAGCTGAGCATATCGCAAATTTCCATTCGGCAAATATTGAAAAAAGAGCTCGGGGTAAAGCCATTGAAATTCCAAAAAGGGCAAGAACTTACACCCCAACAGAAAGAAAATAGGCTCAAAAGAGTTGCTTCGCTTGGCCGAAAGTGGTGAACTGCCGAAGTTGGGTTTCTCCGATGAGAAAACATTCGTTGTCCCGCAGTTTGTAAACACGGTTGCCACAGTTGGTAGAATTCTACCAAAATGGGTAACTTTTTTCAGTGCTAGTAACGTGAACCAATGAACATTATGAGAAAAATGCAGAGAACCAAAAAGGTTCGTTCGGAAAGTGAAAGCCATATACTCATCATCATTCTGGCAAAAAAAATAAGTTCCATAAAAAAACGGAATTAATGAATTTAGCTTTAAATAATTGACTGACTTTTTTTAATTTAATGTGCCAGAAAAAACATATTTAACTTAAGTTTAACAAAAACCAAACTTAGAAATAGAATAAAATTTAATTCTTTGAACAATGTAATGATGGCTAAATAACTGGCTTTAGCTAATAACCAATATTATGTTTGGTCAGAAAAAGATTATTTTAGAAACTGACTGCAAAATTATATTTAAATTCGTGAATATAATCAATTAAAATATTTCTGTTCTGATATGAATTGAAATCATTTATGTTATGTCTTGTTATTAACAGAATTTGTTGTTTTTTGTTATAATAATAAACAATTGTTGGTAACTTTTTGGTAAGTTTTTCCGGAACTTTGGGTAGGAAATTTTTTTACTCAGTGACAACCGTGTTTGTAAATAAACAACTTGATCGTGTTTACTTGCCAAAGAGGTCAGCTGAAAATGTGCAGCTTCGGTTGGCCACCAACCAGAACTCAAGCGCCGGCCATGGTGATGGTGTGGGCCGCCATAACAGCCGATGGTCGCTCTCCGCTCGTATTAATCGACCATGGCATCGGAATAAATGCCGAATATTATTGTGAACATATCCTGGAGGGTGTATTAAAGTCTTGGACACGCAAACATTTCGGCCGCAGAAATTGGACATTCCAACAGGACTCAGCACCATTGCACTCAGCACGCGCCACCCAAGAATGGTTACAACATGCAACCAAAATCTCTAGATACCAATCCGTTGGACTATTGTGTCTGGAGTAGTTTGGACCAAAAATACCGCAGAGCAAGATTCTGGCAGCGTTTAATTGGCCGTTAATTCGTGGCAAAGGTGACCAATTCGAATAAATTTAAACTTATTCTAAAATTTGATGCTATAAAAATTATGGAGTTTGACTTTGTTTCAGTTTCTATGGAGGGCATATTAACTTTTCATTCCGTTTGTAACTCCTCGAAATATTAATAATAGACCCTACAAAATACATATATTCTGGATCAGCGTAAAATTCTAACACGATCTAGCGATGTCCGTCTGTCTGTCTATCTGTCTGTTGTAATCACGCTATCTTTCGAATAAATTGAGATAGAAGACTAAAATTTTGCATACATGCATGGTTTACCAGTAAGCAGGTTAAGTTCATAAATGGGCCATATCGGTGCACGTTTTCGTATAACCCCCATATACGGTACCTCCCGATATTCGGTATTTTCATGATTTTAGCGACATTATTTGCCGGAATTATTTCAAATTTCATATTTGAAGTTCGTAATGGGTACTACAGCCTATGAAAAAAATTTTTTGTATGCAGGTCTAAGTCTTCTTATAACCCCCATATAACGGTACCTTCTGATATTCGGTACTTTGTTGATTTTAGCGACATTATTCACCGGAATTGTTTGAAATTTGGTAGTAGAAGTTCGTAATGGATATTATGACAGGAGATTGTCTGTGCAGGTCCACGTCTTCGTATAGCTCCCATATAACGGTACCTCCCGATATTCGATATTTTGATAATTTTAGCGACATTATTCATCGGAATTTCAAATTTCAATTTCAAATTTTGTGTTTGAAGTTTTTAATAGATACTACAGCCTATGACAGAAAATTGTCTGTGCAGGTCCACGTTTTGTAACCCCCATGGTACCTCCCTATATTCGGTATTTTGATGATTTTAGCTACATTATAAACAAATTTTTTTTCAAGTTTCGCATTTGAATATTGTAATACCTTGTGACAAAAGTTGCCTATGCAGGTCCACGTTGTCGTAGCCTAATATACGGCTACATTCGGTATTTTTAGGATTTTAACATAATTTTTAACGGATTTTATTTTTTTGAAAATTGCCAAATTTGTACCAAATGGTGGAGGGTATCCAAAGTTCTAAGGCAGAAAATTATTTGTGCTGGTCACATTTTGGTCCATGTAATAGTATCTCCCTATATTGATGAGTTTAGCTACATTATTCACCGATTTTTTTTTAAGTTTCGCATTTGAATATTGTAATGGCTTAGGCAGATTGCTTAGACCATAATATGACGCCTACATTTGGTATTTTGAAGATTTTAAGAAAATTGTTAACGGTTTCTTTTTTTTTTTTTTTTTTTTTTTGAAAATTGCCAAATTCGTTCCAAATGGTAGAGGAGGATTCAAAGTTGCGCCCCGTCGAACTTACAGCTTTTTTATTTGTTTCAATAAAAAAAAAATGTAAAAATTATGGTGTTTGACTTTGTTGCAGATTTTTTTATCTCACCTTTATATAGAACAAAAAACCATAATTTTTAGTTAGTTTTCGTTTTTCATAAAAAAAATCATTTATTTTATAACAAATATTTATTTTAACATACTTAATATTCTTTTATTTGTACAAAACGATCAGAGAAGATATTCTAAGTAGCGATAAGTGGTAATTTGTTTAAACACATTTCTAATGACTATTATGTTTTTGTTTATATTACAGAGATAACTAATACTTCGTAAAGATGGGAAAATGTTAACACACACTAAAAAATGGGATTGCGGGATGGAAATTAAAAGGTACAAAAGTATAAAAAATAATTGCTTTTTTTAGGTTAGGTTCGTTTTCTAAGACCTCCGAGATGGTACTCAAATTATGTAAATTATTCGAGACATTTAGTACCATACGCCTGAAATCCTAGCAGCACTGGTGTATGAGTATTCAAGTGTGTTCCGCGATTTCACATACATACATATGAAGTAGTCTTATGGCCTATAACAAATTTGGACAGATTTAAAACAAGTAGAAAAAGGTACATACAGAATAATAACTTGTCATAACACTACAGTCTACTACTCTCATGGATCTGAGCTTTGTATGAGGGAACGTTTTGCAAATTATTCGTCAAGGCTGAGGGTTTTTTGGCAATGCCATTGTATGCTGGTGGCTCATCGGCAGAGAAAACTGAGTTATCATGACCCTGGATGTTACGGGTGTGGACTTCCATGCCGGGATTTTCACCTTTTTCAGTGTCTGAAGTCTTTGGTTTGCCCTCCAACAGGAAACAGGTGATGAGGAAGAGAATGGAACCTAAAGCAAAGAATGTTCACCATGTTAATATGAATTCACATAATAAATCTGCAAATACTTACTTATGCCATACATGCCAGCATAGAATATCATAATTGAACCTCTATAGCCAATGGCCTTTGCAACGGGATCAACCAAAATTGGCAGGTTACCACCAATGTTGTTCATGACAAACAAGAAAACGCCAATGGTGGAGGAGCGAACGTGCAACGGTACAATTTCTACAACAATGGCAAAAACAATACCAAACCACATTTCGGCAAAGAAGTACGAGCCGCCCAATGTAATCATGGCCCACAATGGTTCAAAGAACACCGAACCAAAGGCCGGCAGGGTGGCAATCAATTGACTTATGGCCAAGACAAATGCCCTCGAACGTATACCCATTTTGGCAACAATCTTATCGGAGACAACACCTCCGACCACCACACCAACACTGCCAATGCCGATTGTCACAGCAAAGAGCCACCAGCCCAAATCGGTGTCAGGGAAATATTGATTGTAATACAAATCGGCATTGTAGGCAAATGTCATGCCACCGCAATGTCTGATCGAGGCAGCAATCATTAACATAATCATGGCGGGATTTTTCAACACTGACCATAGATTGGCCTTTTTGCCATCCTTAACTGTCACCGAATCGTCCGAGATTGATTTGCGTTCGGGTTCTTTGAGTGTGGTGCCAGTCAAAATGGCAATAATGACAGCTAAGATGCCGGCGCCCAAATAACACACACGCCAGCCCATGTCAAAGAAATTTGCCTGGGTTATATAGCGACCAACGGGGAAGGCAATGCCATAACCACCTGCAAATGAAGGGAACCAAAACTTTGTTAGAATTCATGTCATAGATTTCAGATAAATAGACATCTTACCATAAATACCCCAGTTGAAAATGGCCATAACCAAGGCTCTTTTATCCTCGGGGAATATATCGGACATAATACCGGTTGCCAAGGGATTGCAGCCCGATTCACTAAAGGAATAACAAAATGAAAATGAAATAAATACTATCCGCCAACCTCCCCTTCCATTGTCCTCAACTTACCCCGCAGCCATGATCATTCTCAACAACACCAATTGCCAGTATTCCTTGACGGTACCCTGCAAAATGATAGCCACCGCAAAGATAAAGGTACAGACGGTCAACATTTTGACACGATTATAACGATCAGCAGCCACGCCCATAAAAACACCAGCAATGGTAAAAATCAAAATGAATGTTGGCCCGGCCAATATCTGATATTCAATACCCAAACCATTACGATTCCACTCACAATAGGTTGTGCCATTGTGCTCCAGAGCATAACAGCTGGAATGAAAGAAAAGCAAAGGTTAATTGAATTAAAAATGGTGTAACTACATGGAAAGAAAACACGCAGAACTTGCGAGCAAGGGTGAGAGAGAATAGAAATTATTGTAATAAAAATATGTTAAGAAAAATACTTTTTTAGAAAGTATTATAGTATGTTTACACCAGAGCATTTTGCCGGCTTAACTTGAGAATTTATTTGAGGTATATGCCATGGAATTGGCCATGGTAGAAGAATATAGGTAGACGCGTCGACACAGCTGCTTGGACAATGAACTGTCAAACCATTTTTGGAATTGAAAATGTTGAATGAAAAATTATTTAAATTTGTAAAAATTGTTGAAAAACGCGAATTATTATAGCCTCCGAATGACGTAGTATAAGAAAGCGTATAAAAATCTACTTATATTCGAAAAAAACATTTAAATTTTTTTGACATATCAATGCTCCCAAGCGTTGATGCATTTACCTGTATTCTTCTGCCATGGAATTGGCAATAGAATTCACTGTGTTAACTAAATCTGCTAAAATGTAAACGTACTGTTAATGAATTTAATGGTATGTGCTAGTAAAATACAACTCTGAGTTAAGACTTTAAATGCACAAACTCGTTCCCCTCTATTAAGGGCTATGCAGTTCTCTCAGAGTAAATTAAAAAATTCTCTCTTTTACATGTTTAATATTAAAAATGCATAGGAACACAAAATATTTGTCATGAAACCGTGGCGTTATGCGCTGTTATGGCTCGACGGATGAAGGGTGGTCCTTGCCACTCTCAGTTGATCAACAAAAAAAAGTCACATCAGTCTACTACTAAACATGGTACAATAATGAGGTAGAACAGCTTCGTAAAACTACAGAAATACAGCTCTGAGGCTATGCCCGCTTTCTGTCAGACTCATTCAAAATTTTATGAATCAAGTTGTTTTCATTTTTTTTATACTTCCCCTGACCGAATTTTTTCACAAAAACATGATCCAAACTTTTAAATCTTTCAATTTCATGGCTAAACTGGTTAATAACTTTAATGCGGGAGCCGCAAGGTACATGTCTTCCAATCATTGGTTTTGAAAATATTTTTTTTTTCAGTTTCAAAACAATAAATACATACACAAAATTGAAACACTTAGAAAAAAATTATAAACAGCTGATCGCTCTACCTTACCTTTTTATTGTACCATGCTACTAAGTAGTCAAAAATTTTGGTTGGTCGAAATATGTCGTGAATGAATAAAAGGTATGGAAGAATACGGGTGAGATAGTGAGAGAAAAACTGCAACCAACTTCAGACTGCTGTCATTTCCAAGCAACTCGTCCGACAGCTGTTAAAATTATTCCAGTGACAGCTCATTATATTGTTTATAAACGTACAAAAGCATTTTGATGAGAATTTTCCAGATAAAAAGTTATTCGTGATGGAATTCAATCGTGATTGTGTGATTTCTTTATATTTGGCTGGAAAACCACAAATGGCTATCGTTAAAGCACTCCAGCATATAAATGTGAAAAAATCTTTTGTGTCTCGTACCATCGCTCGTTACCGTGATACTGGTAGCTTAGCCCGACGTCAAGGAAGTGGGCGGAAGAAAACAAGCAACAGCAGCAGAAATGGTTCGAAAAGTAAAGAAGCGACTTGATCAAAACCCGCTTCGCAGTGGCCAAAAAATGGCTCGTGACCTAGACATATCGCAATATTCCATTCGGCAAATATTGAAAAATGAGCTCGGGGTAAAGCCATTGAAATTCCAAAAGGTGAAAGAACTTACACCGCAACAGAAAGAAAATAGACTCAAAAGAGCTAGAGAGTTGCTTCGCTTGGCCGAAAGTGGTGAGCTGCCGATTTCCATTTGGCAATATTCTATTCGGCAAATATTGAAAAATGAGCTCGGGATAAAGCCATTGAAATTCCAAAAAGTGCAAGAACTTATACCGCAAACGAAAGAAAATAGACTTAAAAGAGCTAAAGAGATGCTTGGCATGGCCGAAAGTGGTGAACTGCCGAATTTGGTTTTCTCCGATGAGAAAACATTCGTTGTCTAGCAGTTTGCAAACAAAATGATCGTGTTTACTTGCCACAGAAGTCAGCTGAAAATGTGCACCTTCGGTTGGCCACAAGAGCTCAAGCGCCAGTCATGGTGATGGTCTGGGCCGCCATGGTCGCTCTCCGCATGTATTAATCAACCGTGGCATCAGAATAAATGCCGAATATTATTGCGAAAATATTTCGGAGGGTGTATTAAAACCTTGGGCATGTAAACATTTTGGCAGCAGGATAAATGCCGAATATTATCTAGAAAATATTCTGGAGGGATATTAAAGCTTTGGGCACGCAAACATTTAAAGGGTTACCAACAACGGTTTGTAAAAGATACTGCCTCTTTTGTTCTGCCATGAGTCGAATCAACCTTAGCAAACATACATCACGTATATCATATAAAATGTCAAAAAATTGTGGTGCTCCGTGCTTTTGAAAAAAATTAAGTTATATGTTTTATTTAATTAATTTATCTGGTAAAAAAGTGTATTAAAGTGTTCAATAGTGATTTTGTAACTCAAAGTGATAATTGGTGTAGTGTTTTAAAATTTTGTTTTTGTCTTTTAAAGTAATATTAATTTTTAAATTGTGTAGTTGTACATTCTCCTTTTATCCTCTTTCTTTTGTTACATTAGCTAATTAGTTGTTGTAACATATCGTCTTGTTTTGTTTGTCATCTCATAGAGTTGCCAACATTTAAAAAAAGAATTTAAAAAAGAATAAAATAAATAAAAAATTCCAGCTACAGATCTAATCTTGAAAAATATAGCTGTAACTTGTGTATTAAAAAATAAATAATTATAATTAAAATAAATACTAATTAAAATAAAAAAATGTCGTGCCCTTTTGAATTATGTAACATTGTTGCAGAGGATGAATTGTGTGTTACCTGTTGGTTTTGTCTTAATCAATGGCATGCAAAGTGTGCTAGGATTAATGCAAAAGTTGTAGACACAATTAGAAATAATGTTGGTGTTCGTTGGTGTTGTGTGCAATGTAGGAAACTCTCTGCAGACTTTTATAATTTTGTAAAGGATTTGCAGTCGGAATTGACATCGATGAAAAAAGATTTTTCCTCACTATCATTCCGATTTGAGAATTTCTCTACATTGTTTGAGAAATACCAAGAATTAGATGAGTTTGTGTCGTCACCGTCAGTTTCTGGCCAGAAACGCAAAAGGGCTGCGAAAAAGGCACCAACTAAGGGAATGCCTAGTCGCAAAGCAATAGTTTCTGTGGAGAACACTGTTCCACAACCGGTATCAGTTAATATCACTGAAACAACTGAGACTGGACGTGAACAGTCGTATGCCAGTGTTGTTACACACCCAGTTCCGGTAGATAACAGCGGTATAGGTAAAGGGGTTAATAATCCTGAAGTTATGAGTATTGATAGTGAGGTTTCTAAGAAAACCTCCCAATCTACTCGTAACATACAGGTATTATCACTTCCTTCACTTATCACTAGTGATCGTCCCGAGACTGCTACTGGCAAAACTCAACCTGTCCAAAGATCTTTATCTATGGCTCCCGCCATGAAAATGATATTTGCAACAAGGTTTGCGCCAGAAACAACGGCCGATGACATAATGTATTATATAAAATCAAAAATTGAGGGAGATTACTTTTTGAGATGCTACAAGCTCCGATCTGCATTTTCTGAAAGTAGATCTTCTTTCAAAATCGTTGTGCCTGAAAATATTTTTGTACAGTTGATTTTAAAAGAATTTTGGCCTGCTAGGGCATTTATTAAAGAGTTTGTGGAGAGATCCGATAATTTAGCTCATTTGCCTCTTAGACCAGATTCGGTGCCAAAAAACTAAATGACTCATTTTCTATTTGCTATCAGAATGTAAGGGGGCTTAATACAAAATTAACCAGTTTATATACTGATAGCATTGGTTTCAATTATAATGTATTGGTTTTCTCCGAAACTTGGTTAAAAACATCTATATTAAATAGTGAAATTTTATGTTCAAAATATCAAATATTTAGAAAAGATCGTGTTTGTAAAAAAGGTGGTGGCGTCCTTATTGCAGTTGATACCAAATATACCACTAATTTAATTGATCTAAATGATTTTCTTGATATAGAATTTGTTGGTGTTTCCATTGAATTGGGCATATCTAAATTGTTTGTAACTTGCTCTTATATTCCCCCTTCATCTTCACTTGACATTTATAATCAGCATTTATCAGCAATAAATTTAATCACTGAAAAAATGAAAGATTCCGATCGCATTCTGATCCTTGGTGATTTTAATATGCCCTCCATTAGGTGGCTTCCAATGCCAGATTCTGAAGCTTTGATTCCTTTGCCATCCGAAATGAACAGTACCCAGTATACATTTGATGTTATAAACAGTTTGTGTGACTTAAATCTTTATCAAATAAATAGTGTGAAAAATTCCCTCGGCAAAATTCCTGATTTGGCGTTTGTAAATATAACGCAGCATTTTGATATATTCAGAATTCCTCCAATATGCACTCCTGAAGATATATACCATCCAACTTTATATATCTCCATGACTCACAGTTATATAATTGAAGAAAGTCAGTCCGACTCATTTAAAACTGTCCTTAATTACAAAAAAACTAATTTTCGAAAATTTAATACTCTCATTTCCTCCGTAAATTGGGCTTCTGTGTGCCTGTGTAACAACCATACAGATTTAGAATATGTAATTGATAAATTTTATGATATTTTAAATAGATTTAAACTGGAATGTGTTCCAACCACTAGAGTTAAAAATTCAAATAAATATCCATGGATAACCTGTGAGTTATCAAGTTTAAAAAACTCTAAAAATAAGCTTTTTCGTAAATATAAAATATCAGGCTTAACAATAGACTACACTAATTACTCTGTTGCTAGATCTAAATATACTTTAGAGTCTCGTAGATTGTATAATCTTTACCTAGACAAGATTAAAAATAATTTTAAATCCAATCCTAAATCTTTTTATGATTTTGTTAATCTAAAACGAAAAGTTTCCTCAAAGCCCTCAGTATTGAAATATAACAATAAAGAATTTGTCACAGGCACAGATATTGCTGAATGTTTCGCAGATTTTTTTGCCACAACCTATTCCAGTACATCTTGCCAAATTAAAGATTCGTATCCTTATAAGTTGTCACAGGCTGATCAAATTTGTATGCCTTTTCTACAACGTCAGGATGTGTACAATAGTCTGCGTAGTTTAAAATCGATTAAATGTCCAGGACCGGATGGCATACCTAATATAATTCTTAAACCGATTTTGGAATACAATTTTTTTGAATGAAAAGTTGTTCAAATTTGTGAAAATTGTTACAATAATGCATATTGTAAGGACCTCTGATTTGCGTCGTATAGGAAATCATATGCATATCTACTTATTTTTGAAAAACAAAAATATTTCAACATTTTTGACATATGAATGTTCCCAAGCGTTTATGCATCTACCTTTATTTTTCTATCATGTCCATTACCTTAAAACCTCCCGTTGAATTTAATTGCAATTAATATGATAAACCTACCTTGTTTCGTTTTGAACTGCTGAACATTGTTGTGTCACTTCGGCCCTAGTGAACATTGTATTATTCTGTTGGCAGGATATGTCACCATATTCCAAATCAATGGCCGTTTGCTTGGAGGTAACACCAATTAGATAATGGCCCAATTCTCCCAATATGTAACCAATCGTCAATATGGCCAGTACATAGGAACTATAATAGCCACTTAGTTTCGATAAAATTGGTATCATTTTGGTGATCTGCAAAAAGAAGAAGAAGAAGAAGAAAATTTCAAATATTACTATTGTCTACTATTTAGTTAAAAAAATAAGAATTTTCAATTTCATCATCTGTTATTATAAGTTAATCATGCAAAAGTCGTTTGTTTTTTTGGTGGATATAATTAAACAATTGATCAGTATAATTAACGATATTCGAATAGAACGTTTCGTTTATTACCAAGAATATTTGAAAGTAATACAGCACAACAATATTCCAAGATTTTAATGGATATTCCATAGTGCAATTCGTTCTACATGTGACCGTCTTAATCAGATGATTGCTGCTTAAATTATCAATGAATTGAAACGTTCTAATTGCTTAGGGGACCGATTGGTGAGCTTTTTTTTTGTTTAATTTGTGGTAGTACATTTTAATTGATGTTAATCGTCGTTGAAATGAGTGATCGATGTTGGCCTGCCACAAGTGTGAAATATTCTTGAGATGTAATCAAAGAACCGAAGTGCAAAAATAACGATTTTGTATTCATGCCACCATCGTCAAAATGTTGGATCACCAATTGAGCGTCTCTAGAATTGCTAAGCACGTATTCACAAAATAATCGAACACCTGATGGTATAAATCATTGGCCAAGATAAAAGTCTTTCGATCTTTTAGCACTTAAAATATGTTTATCATATACAGGTTTAAACAATTGGCCCCTTTTTATATCCTTTCTATATAGTCCGGATTTGTTATCCCTTGCTTAAGAAAAAGTAAAATAGTCTTTAGTAAAGCAACCGGGTTTCATTATTAAATCTTTCCTTTGAAATAAATGCATTTTCCAGAGATATGGCAACCTATTTCTAAATGTGATTGATAATCACTACATGTTTTTCAGAGTGGCGTCTTCGTTTTAGGTAAATAAAAAATAACCTAAACGAATTTCTAATTATTTTCTTGAAATAAATCCTCAATTCAGCTCTCAATATAAAAGAAACGATTTTTTATTCGAATATATTTTGCTGTTATTGTCATGTTATCAATATAAAATATGGCAACATGAATTCAGTAAACTTTACGTCATGATCCAAGTATAAGGTCCCCTTTCCAGCTCAGCTGATTACCAAACGATCTGTCAATTAAATTTGAAAGAAACGTCAAAACAAACGACAAAACATGATTTTTACTGATATGCGAAAATATATTTTTTTGGTAATTTTGTAAAAAGAAGATGAATAGCATACAAAAATGAAATAAAAGTATAAATTTATTTGCATTTGCATTGTATAAAAAGAAAAAAAAAATGTTTCCTATTTTAAAGAATATAAACTAATTTCAAAAAGAAAGAAGTGCCAGGGAAGAGTTAAGGGGGAATACATAAAGCGTTTATCTGGCGGGCCTAAGTCATCGGCTGGCTTCTTTGGAAATCAACAAAGGAGTTTAGGTTGACTTAGTTCGATTTTGGTCCTAGGCTCCTTTGTTAATATCCAAAGAAGCCAGCCAGATAAGCGCTTTATGTTTTCCCACCTTTATTCTTTTTCATCCCCAAGTATGAAAAAATAAGGGAAGATGGAATACACTTTGTCAAGTGAAGCTTACACCCACATCACAGGTGTGTTCGAACTACATTAACATGGGCACTATGTTATTCTATTCCTAAAACGAAATATTGGAATATTTTTATTTTTATTGTGAAAATAGAGCACAGATTTTTACAATTATGAAAACTACTTTCGTTTTGTTTTTGATAGATTCTCGCAGAAGCGCATGGTAGAAGAATAAAGGTATTCGCATCGACTCAGCTGCTGGGACAATGAACTGTCAAACCAATTTTTGAAATTAAAAATGTTGAATGAAAAATTATTAAAATTTGCAAAAATTAAAAAAAAAAACGGCAATTATAATAACCTCCGAATGACGTCGTATAAGAAAACATATAAAAATCTATTTATATTTGATAGAAAAATCTTTGACATAAGCGTTGATGCATCCACCTGTATTCTTCTACCATGTGGTCTATATAGTATCGCAGTGGATCATGTCTAAATACATTAGCTCTATTTCAAATCGTGAAATAATCTATTTTTTTTACCATTTTTGCACAAACAAAAGGTTCTGCAGCCGAAAGCATAGCATTATTAAAGTGGGAATACATAGAGTGCTTATCTGGCTGGCTTAAGTCATCGGCTGGCTTCTTCGGGAATGAACAAAGGAACCTAAAGCCAAAATCGAACTCAGTCAACCTAAAACTCCTTTGTTCATCTACGAAGAAGCCATCCGATGACTTAAGCCAGCCAAATATGCGCTTTATGTATTTTCAGCCTTATTGTCATCTAATATTAAAATGTTTACTAGTCTTTCGTTTCCATACTTTCTGGACAAAGAAGTTCTCTCAGAGAGGATTTAATATTTTTATACCCTCCACCTTGATATTAATATTATTAATATACCCTCCTTATATTAACTTTGTCATTCCGTTTGTATCATGTCCAAATACTCATCCTAGAACCCATAAAGTATATATATTCATAATTAGCATAAAATTCTACGTCGTCCGTTTGTCTGTCTATTGAAATCACGATACGGCCCACACTATTTGACGTAGAGCTTCAAAATTTAGCAGAACAATTTGTATTGTGTCTACTATGGTTGGTATTGAAAATGAGATATATCGGTCCACGTTTTGGTATAGCCGCCATATATAGATATTTTGATGATTTTCGCCACATTTTTTTCACGGAAAGGTCCACGTTGTGGTATAGCCCCCATATAACGGTACCTCCGGATAGTCGGTGTTTTGATGATTTTTGCCACATTTTGTCCACGGATTTGTCCAAAAATTGGCATTTGTAGTTCGTAATGGATTCTAGCTCCTGTGGTGGAACACTGAAAATTTAGATCCACGTTTTACTATAGCGCACATACAACGATACATATCGATACTCGGTATTTTGATAATCCTAGACACATTTACCCAAATTGGGTATTTAGGAAGATTTGCTAGATAATAATCCTTGAAGTATACAGTTATCTATAGGGGTTCACCTTTTGGTATGGCCCCTTACAATGTCCTCATCCACTGTATGTTTTTTTTAAATAAGTTTAACAGCATTATCCAAACGATCTTACTGGTATTTGTAGTTTGAAGTGGAACCCGTTTGAATTCAGACCACATAGTGATAAGGGTATTATGTCTTTGTGCATTTGTTTGTAACATGGAGATGGAAAGGAGTTAGACCCATAGTTCTTTTTGGTGATCAGCATAGAATCACAATTTGAGTCGATTTATGCATGTACGTCCATCCGTTCGTCCGTCTGTCCATGTATTTTTGTAAACAAAATGCAGGTCGCATTTATTATTCGATTGAGATAAAATTCTCTAAATAACATTTGTTTGGCTCAAGGACGAACCCTATTGAAATTGGTTAAAATCGGTTCAAATTTAGATATGGCTCCCATATATATCTTCATCCGATTTTAGGTTTCTTGTGCACCAAATGGCTAATATCAGTCCAAATGGTATGAACTTTGGTACTTCCGACTGAAGTACTTGAAATTTGGTGGAAATCGGTTCAGATAAAGCTATAGCTTCCATACATATGTTTCATCCGATTTTGGGGCTTAAGTCCCTTACATTCGTAATATGCACTCCACAAAAATGATATTTAGTACCAGTATATGTACCATATATATGTTTTATCCGATTTGGTGTTTGAATCTCCAACTTTCGAAATATGCACTCTACCATAGTCATATTTTGTACCAGATATCTCATAGAGCTCAGAAATGCCCAATATAAACCTTTCTTTTACGAGAGTTCTACTGAATATGCATAGTGGTGTAGGGTATCATATAGTCAGCCCCGCCCGACTTTTGAGCTTTCCTTACTGGTTTTATGTAAAAATGTTTTCTTTTACCCAAAGGTGTAGGGTATTAAAAGTTCGGCCCGGCCGATTTTAATGTATTTTACTTGTTTCTTATATAATTTCACAGTAGAAAAAATAAATAGATATTGATAAAATATTGACAATTTATTTTGATCTTCAATAGTTTAACCCCGTTATTAGTCTGATTCCGAGCAGATAGCAGGCTTGGACCTTTTAGCTAATATGGATTGTAGTCTTTTGTGGATAAGGTCGTCTATTGCCCACTAAATTTTTATCAAAAAAAAAAAAACCTTCAATTTTTTTCTATTTATTGTATCCACACTTGTCAAATCATATTTGGGTGTGTTCCATTAACCACTTCAAATCAATATTAAAACTGATTCCCGTCCATCGTGATTTAAGTGTTTGGTCCATTAATCAATTTATCGAAATATTTGAGATTTTTTATGGCTAATTATTGTGGAATTCCACGAGAAGAGGATGTGAAAGAAGTAAAGGTGTTTGGATTTTTTTCTCATTCCCACAAGTCATTGGCTTTTTGCCATGAAGAAAAGGAAGCAAATCAATCATTGATTTCCGAGATTTTTTGCTATTATTGATGTTGTTAACAAGTATTTTTAGTTTTTTTCTTTTGTTGCTGTTGTTATTATGGACTTGTATGTAGTTCGATTCAAGGTTGAGAATTGAACTGGGATTTGCTTTAATAAAACAAAAACCACAAGTTTATTTCAATCAAATAACAACTCAGACAAGCAAAGATTGGACATGAGGTACAAACCAGTAAGAATTGGTAAAAGTTGAAACACACACACACGCGCACATAAAAAGAACAAAATTGTTCTAAGTAAATAAAAATAATAATAAACCATTAATGTACCAGCATCGTAAAAAATGAACAAAAATAAACTTCAGACTGTCAGTCTGGTAACACAAGCGAATTCCAAAGAATTATTACGAAACTAGAAACAAAAAACTCATGCGGATATAAAATCACACATCCAAATCATTAAAAAATATTCTTTTGTTACACCTATTGCTTGAATCTTAATTTAGATAATTTGTATTCTTAGTTGATATTACAGTTAAGTGTTTTGTTGCCGTTTTAGACAATATGTATCATCTGTTTGAACAATACATTGTTATAAACTATT